CTCGCCCAAACCAACCGCTGACGGCGGAAGGTTCGCCGGGGATGTCTCCTGCACAATCCCCCGGTTAATTGCGGATAATCGTCGTCGCACTGCCTTGATGAAAAAGTGGCAGTCACATAAATGCGTGCCCAAAATGGCCGCTGCGTACAAAAAACGTGACGCCATAACCTCCATTTCCGCGATGGTTGAAGAACTGAGCGCCGACATGGCGCATACAGACCGGACAAACTTGTCACTCAGGGATACCGTCCGGCGAGTGTGATCAAACTGCGCCCCAGGAAGGTGTGCTGCGTGGCGCCCCATTCGCGTTCCTCCCCTATCGTGGCGTGACGGCCGTCCGCATTACGAAGCACTTGGGCTTCCCACAATGTCACATCGCTTTTCGACCCCGCAATACGTATATTATCGATCCAAACGTCGGCACGCAGCAATGGAGGTGCAGTCCAGAGAGGGTGAACCACCGTCGTCACCCCCGCAATTGCTGAAATGATAATCTGGAGGATTTCTGGGCTGGCCTTGTATCCCATTGGGAGCCGTGTGAGCTCCACCAGCGTGCCGTCCTCCACGCGGCATCGAAAGGGATGCCGACTCTCCCGCAGCAACAAAGACCGGAAAAAAGGATGCCTTTAAATCCAGGCAGGAAGCGGCCTCAGCCATCACAGGCAGCAAATAATGGGAAATGTGTAAAAGAGGAACATGAGCCTCATAAGGGTCGTCTCTGTTCTTGTCGCGTGGCCACGCGATCCATCGTCGTCGTAAACCGGTGGTTTTCTCCTCCAGAACCGAAAAAGGTATTATCCATCCGCCTGTTATTGTGGACAAAGCGTCCTCGATTATTCACGCTTCCTTCAACAATCGCGCGTCAGCGACCGGAATCCTTCGTGGGCTTTTGCCTGGTGTAAAAGAGGACGGAGGGAGAGGGGACCGCCCGACGAGTCCCCAAACTTGCATGGGTCTGTCCAAGGTAGTCGGGTTCAACGGTCCCCTGATCAACTCCAAATTCAATGCGGGCACGTTGACTTGCTGTAACGGGATAGCGTGTTCACCTCGTGGAGTGGCCAGTCGCGTCCTTGTCGCGCGTCTTGTTATTGTAGCAGCATGATTTTGATTAAAATCATGGAAAAAACGCTCCTCTGCTCTCAGCCAGGGTTCCTGCCCTTCCGCCGTTTCTCCCTTCACATCAATGTGACCAGCGACGACACCTGGGTCAGCATTGTGGTGTATCTCCACAAATATCAAACAGTATTCTGGGGAAGGTCAAACGGATTGACGTGCTTCGCCAACTGCGAGATCACGTGTGGATTCAAATTGTATGCCTCTACGATTTGAGCAGCGTGCCGCAACGCACCGCGTTTTGTGGAATGCGCCGTGGCATTTCAAGGAGCCAGAACTCGTTCGACTTTGGCAGTCGTCAGATTCGTGAGCTTTTCGTTTTCTTGAAGTGTCCTGCATAGCTTTATAGTGTCGAAGGCGTCCTGCCCTCGTATCCTCACGAACCGCGAGGCGCGGTGGGATCCGCCCTCGCCGTCTTCGGCGCGACGGACCAATCCAAAATTATGGTCCCGTCCGGCTTCAGTTTAAAATTGTTAGGTGTCAAGGACGCAATCTCGGACCAACGACTCGCCGTTATCCACGCAAGTCGAAAACAACCCGTCGCTTCCAATCGGTCCGGCTGCGGATAACTTGATTCATCTCTTCCTCTGTTAAGGGGCGTGCCTGCTTCGTCTCGGATCGCGCCGCAATTTTTTGTAACCCCAGAATCACCATATTCAGCGGGGTTCGATTCATTTCCAACATGGACCGCAGCATCCTGGCGTACTGCTGTCGGGTCGATGGCGCCACACCGATTGCCATCAAAAAGGCCGCACAGCTCTCCTCGTTGATCGGCTGTTCGTGCGTGCGGCAAAAGGTTGTGAATTGCCCCGCTAGAGACGTTCTCTGCTCCCACGTTGACGGCGCCCACATTTCTCGAGCCACCTCGTTCGCGCTCCTCATATAATTGGCCCAAAGCGGGGATGTCGGTGATTCGTCGTACCACAGTCGAGCGTCGTTGGCGGATAAGCTCCATCGCCCTTCCCGACGATTGCGTCGAGCAATTTGAAAGATCGGGTGGAGCATCGGCGGTGCGGTGTGACTTCCGTGCGTAATAGCCGAAGGTGGTGGAATGGATGGGGCTGCCATCGTCCGCCTTCATGATCGACGGGCAGCCCCTCTGCCGTTTTTTGACGGCCGTCCGCGCTGCGAGTGGCTTCTTCTGGTTGCGTCTCGGACGTTGCGTGTAGACGCGTCGTGCCCATACAGACGACACAGTTGACATTGCATCGGTCGTTGCGTCCCTCGCCGATCGACGAGAGGCTGGGTTGCCCTCGCAAAGGTGTCAGCCTCATGAACGGCGGTGTAGACGGGCGCAAATTTTGGAGAGCGGGATGCCGAGATCGGATGCCATCATGAGCTGCATCCGGAATTCCTGGAGTAAGATCCTTCCCAAATTCATGAAGCGATCGGTGGGATCCCGCTCCGCTTCCAGCGCACCGATCCACGTAACCAAACTGTCAAATACAGGTTGAGCCTGGTCGTCCGCCAGGTGCCAATAATTGTATGCGCCCCGGAGGTCTAAAAAGTCACCGGAAACGCCCTCATCCCATATACGCGGGGCCCAAGTGGTGACGCCAAAGGCGCGGAAATTTCGTCTCTCTTCTTTTGTAGCAGAATGGGCGTCCAAAGAGAAGTGCTGGAGGGCAAAGGCATCGAGGGATAGAAATGTGGTCACCCAAAATTGTCATGAGACGTCTGGGGAATTACCTGCCGTCTCTCTCCCGCCGAACTGCGTTGCGCCGTGCGTGACGACGCACTCACAGTCATCAAGCGATGCTTTCGAAGTAGTTGTTTGGTATCGCCATTCTCGGCCATATTTTGACGCGCGACAGGTCCATCTGTAGGGCCTCTCGGAGACGTGGGGGCGTCTTCCCGGCCCGTCGCCGCCGCTTCCCACGCCGCCTGCTGCGCTTCTTTTGCGTTAACGCGTGCCTCTCGTTCCTGTAGTTGGGCGCGGGTCGCCTCCAACTGCTGTTCGCGACCGGCGAGCGCATCTTCTTGTTGTCCAAAATGGTCGCAGGCCCTTGCAATGTTGGATTCGCGCGCCGATAGGTTGTTACGCGCCTCTTCGACCTGCGAATTAGGCTGACCGTTTCGATTCCGCGCATCCGCGATAGCAGGGGCGTAGTCCGTGATCGACCGCCCCCTTTCAGCCATGATGAGCCATTGGTGGACTCCCAACTCCCGGGCCACCCCCACACGGTGAGCAGGAGCACTTGAGTCCCGAAATTTGGTATTTGAGGCGCCCGGCGATTCGCAACATGTCCTGTGGGGGTTGTGTCCTCCCATGGTTTGACGGTGGATCCCGAGGTCCATCGTAAGCCCGTCGATGTGGTGGACACCGTTAACGTCGCATTGGGCGCTTCGTTACCATCCATGAAAGTGAGCTGCAGCTAAATAGCGCCATGTTGGCGTACCAGGCCGGACACACGGGCACCAATATCACTCCACTCGAAGGCTGTGTATAGAACCAATGCCATTTCCTTTAAACCAAACTGGCTGTGTCTAAAAACAAAAAAAATAATAAATCATATTGCCTCTATCGGCTCCCTGATGCCCTTAAAGTCGTTTATTTCCCAAGAATTCATAAGATAGGAAAAAGTATCATAAAGAAATGCATTAGTGTTATCCGTATATATGTATATATATATATATTCATTAATTAAGGCAGTCAGCTCTCCCGCGATCATTCTCTTCACAAGCTCCTAGAAAACAATTCGTCTTGCCGCTATCAGTTTCGAGGTTAATTCCATCGCGCTCTTCCAAAGAATCATAAGAAAAAAAAAAAAAATAGTGCAGAGATATCTTCGTTTTATCAGCATTTATATATTCACTTAATTATCCAGCCCTCTCGCAAGCATTCTCTTCTAAAGCCTCAAATGTAAAAATAATCTTCTGTGCCGCTGGCCAAATCCTGAAATTTTTTATAGAAACCAAAAAAGAAGATAGGAAGGGAAAAAAGGAAGGTAAAGGTAGAGGCAGTTAAATGCCCAAACGCTTTCTTCTGATTATATATGTATATTCTTTTGACCGTTCAAGTTACCTTTTATACTCAGGTAGGATATGAAGTATATTTATTTAATTCCTTACGAGGTGGCGGACTTTTTTGGGGGTCCTCCAGCCACACAAGACCCCGCCGCAAAAGGTGGAAATCAAAAAAAGGGGAGTTGAGTGGGTGGGAAGGTACAAAATAAAAATAAAAATAAATAAACAAATTATCCAGCCGCCATCGGTTCCCCGCTGCTCTCCCCAATAAAGTCGTGTTCTTCCCAAGAATTCATAAGATAGGAAAAAGTATCATAAAGAAATGCATTAGTGTTATCCGTATATATGTATATATTCATTAATTAAGGCAGTCAGCTCTCCTCGCGATCATTCTCTTCACACGCTCCTAATAAAGCCGTAAAAAATATATATTTTTGTCTATTCGTCTGGCTATTTCTCTGTCTGTGATAAACACGAGGCAGGCCTCCTCCCCTCCAACGCCCGCACGGACCAGTAAAATAAAAATAGTTCATAAAACACATTACAACTACCGGGCCCTCGTTGTGAACCCAGTAAATAACAGCATTTGGCGTCCCGCAACCGCCAGACTCCCAGTTATGTAGAGCGGTAGTGCGGGGACAGGGCTCCGGTAAAAAAAAAAAAAACCAGCCCGCTACGTTCCAATGTGTCCCCGTGGGGAAAAAAACAAAACAAATAAAAAACAGAAAATACAGGCCGGTCGCTCATCGATGTGGCCCCATCCGGGAGCGCGTTCCTTCCACAACTTCCTATTAACAATAATTAACAATTGGAATATTCTGCCATTCTTCTCCGCTCCACACGTGTGGCGACAATGCGAAACACATGGGGAGAATTTCATGGCCTTCTCTCTGGTAAACTCGGCGGCCCATCACCACAGCTCAAACAGGCACCGCCACCACTGCGGCAATGGCAGCAAGGACGGTCAAAATGAAGCGCCCCAAAGCGGCTGTCGCTCTGGCATCACTGCCGTCTTTGGGGAGGAGTAAAACACGACTGCTGCCGTTGGCGGCGATGGTGCACACTTCCTCGTACCTGGGACAATTTATTTTGCCGCCTCCCCTGAAGTACCTCGATTTGGGTGTGATGGATTGACCCGCGGGACAAGACACAAAAATTTCGCTGCCAAGGTACTTCAGAAGCACTTCATTACGACGGCATAAAACCTGCGCACACACCGCAACGACGTTGGCTTGCCATTTGCCACCAACAGCCGTCTTTGCCTCGAGCGAGTCCCCATCGAGGCACCACGACCCAATCCCCAGGAGGGATCCGGGCGGGTCGCCGCTCCCTTCCAAGGCGCAAACCGCCCCCAATGGAGTTCCACCCACCAAAGCGGGGAAAAAAACTGGGCAAGTTTCCGGTGGCTCCGCATAGCGATCACCGACACTTACAAAACATGGTCCAATGGTCTGGCGATCAGACGAACAGCGTAATGACTTGTCTTCCTCATTGCAGAACATACCGGGGTAAGTGACGGGACTTTTCGCTGAGCACTGCTTGTTGAGAAAATCGCAGCCGGCGTTCTTGCCCCAATCCATCGGTTCCCCCATCCCCTGCACAGTCTTGTAGTAGCCGAGGCCCTCGAGCGTTTTCATCGTCAGCTCTGTGTAGCGGCCGGCAAAATGTTCACCAAGAGAGCACATTATCTCGTCCTTCGCGTTGCGCACCGACCAGTGACTCTCCGGCAGACCATCGGGCCCCATCTGCAGCTCCATGCCCTTTATACTGCTACACCTGTAGTGCCTCTTCGCCTCCTCCAGCGTAGCAGTGGATTTCACCATCGCCACAGGGGTGGGGCTGCCGCGCACGCCGTCGACTGCCAGCAGCATGTTGCGCCTCGCCATTTCTTGCACGCTGAACCCGAGGGCATGGGCAATGAAATGCGCAGCTGCGCGAGAAGCGTGCATGCTATACCCAACAAGATTAGGCGTGAACTGCATGGCAGCAGCCACGGGGCGAAGGTCTTCCCAAACAGCACACGGAACGGCCCACACTTCTGAACCCGTTCCAGCAGCCACGTAGAGAACCATGTCCGCACCCAAAATACCAACCCTTCTGTGACTGGGAGGTACGGTGAAGTACTGGCAGCGGCTTCTCTCGCCAAATGCGGGCATTCCCCACAGGACGTTTATGCGCTGAACAAGTAGACGTTCAGCGTGCAGATTGACAGCCGCAGGGATGATTTCATCCAACAAGGTCCTTTTCTTCTCCGCGGTCAAAATGTCATCCGCGGCGCACTCCCCATCACGGCCGGTAAAGTCCGGTTTCGTCTCCCCCACTTTGGTGCAGTACTTCGTCTCGTCCTCCAAATCCTTCACGGAAACCATGATGCGAAGCGACTCCCACCCGTTGTTCGCATCGTCTGCCGCGACGGTGTACGCCTGCATCGCGCCCTGTCCCCGGCGTGGCACCTCACGCACCACCGCAGTCGGCAGGGGGCCGCTCTTCCCCATCATCGCGTCAAATCCACAGCGGTATTGTGTGGCGGGAGCGGCGGCAATGCATCCACTGGCGCAGTACATCAGCAACACCATCACATGCCACAGCCGCAGCGGCAGTGCACTGTAGCGTGGCGGGCGCATGGCGTGAACGAGATGCATCTGGTGACTCGGTGTGGGTAACGGCAGCAGCAATAGCAACAGTAGTAGTATTATTAGCAGTATTAGCAAAGGCCTTGTCACTTGGAAGGGGAACAGGAAGGAAGAAGAGAGAAAAAGGGCGAAGAGAGGCTGCGCCCATAAGAGCAGCAGGGGGAGAACACAGCGCACAGCCAACCAAAAATAATAATAATAATAATAATAATAATAAAGAAATGGCAGTGAGCAAATATTGGACTTCAAAACATATAAACCTCTCAAAACCCTCATTTACGTAATAGCATGCACACGACGGCGGGGAAGCACGGGAAGAAAAAAAAAGCAGGAAACAAATTAAACCACACCTGCGCCAAACACGGACGCAAAGGCAATATTCCCTGTCCCTCAGCGCAACAGCCACGGACACGCCTCGTCTCGGTTAAAGGACACGGATTTTCCCTCGTCCCGCCCGCAGCCAACGACGCACATTTATATATACACGCGACGCTCTGTTTTGCCTTTTCCTCCACGTCATCTTGCACCCGCACATCCTCTACAGAAAGTACGTCCTCTCAACGCAAGCACCGGCTTTCGCACGAATGACAGGCAAAGCAAAGCAAGGCAGTCCAGGAATTGTCATTGCGCGTCCTCCACAAGCAAACGGGTGGGGTGGTGCATTGAGTGTCCAATAATGTCATTATTACTATGTTACGCATCTTGAATGCGGATGTTCACGGGCCAACCACAAAACATTGCTCCGCAGTACGCTGTCTACGCCAATCGCAGCGCCCCATAGCCGCGCCATCGCAACCGCAGCGGTGCATTTTTTCCTCTTGTTTTCTCAGACAAATTCGGCGGCCCGCACGCCAGCAGTCATCGTTGAGCGCGTAAGCCCTACTAAGCGGAGCTGCCCGGCGACAGCGCGGCCCCGCGAGGGAAACACTGCTGGCTTCCCCGGCACCACGCCACGGCGGCCGGCGTTGCCAGGGCGGCGGTCTCCCGTTGGGCTCTTCGCTTTGCGCTGGAGGACTCCGAATGGTGTGTCGCCCGGTCCGCCCACACGACCGTGGGCAGTGCGGGGATGACGGGCCGCAGCGTCCCTGCCCGACAGGCCCGGCAACCGACCGCGGCACGCGCAACGCCAACTTCCACGTGCGTTTTTCGCCGCGGCCTCCGGGTCAGGCGCGTCGCTCCTGCGGGAACGCCGCCGGCGTTTCGGGACGCACTCCGCTATGCGTTGGCGGCGCGTATGACCACATCGCGGTGCCGTGCGGGCCGGGATCAGGAGCGCCGCACGGCAGAATGGTTGCTTTTTGTCCCTTTGAAGAATTGTGCCCGTGTCCTTCGGCACTCAACCCTGGCGCCTCGATGGGGTGGCCAACCGTTAGGCCCTCATGGCGCAACGGGCGTGGGAGAACAAGTCTCGGCAGTTTGCCAAACGCCGCTTCTCAACTGAAAAGGTATTAAAGAGGTAACTTGACATTTGACCTATTCATCGTCTCTTTTGTGTGTGTGTTGTTGTTGTTCTCCTGTGGCACCTCTGCGGATAAAGATGAGATGAAAGGGAAGGAACACTCACACACACCCATACACACAGGGAGAGAGAGAGAGACTGCAAAAGCCAACATGCGCGGAAGCAGTTTTTTTTTTGTTTTTGTTTTTTTTGGTGAGCGGCGTCTTCATCTTCCATTTCTTCTTTTGTGCCCACTTGCGGTTTTGGACTCGGCTCCGTCCCCACAAGTAAAATAACAGGAAAACGCCGCAAAAACTACAAAAAATGACCGACAAGAAGCAGAAACAAACATGCAAAAAAAAAAAAAAAAGAAAAAAGTCCCACCCCCCACCTCCCCCAAATAAACAAAAAAAGAAAAAGGGTTTGCTCACAGGCCTTGGGACTTCGCCCTTTGCGCATGTTGATCGGGCACAGGCCGAAGTAGCACACATGGCAGCCGCACGCTCGCATTCACACACACTCACTCTCTTCCAGCCATCTATGCCCACTGAAGACAAAAAAAAAAAAGG